CAGCAAGGGTAAAAGAAAAGTTGTGTATAGCTTGGCCAGACTATACCTTGGACAGAAATTTGAAGATCTGAGGAAGAGAAAAAGTTATCAAAGAAAGGATAAGTATTTTTTTTTTTTTTTCTGTGAAGGACTTAATAGTAAACATTTAAGGTTTTGCAGAAGTGGCACAGTTTAGGATATTTAGGATATTATATAGGTACTTACATATTACACGGTCTCGGGGGTGGGGGGATGCAGTGGCTCACACCTGTAATCCCAGCACTTTGAGAGACCGAGACGGGCAGATCATCTGAGGTCAGGAGTTTGAAACCAGCCTTGACCAACATGATGAAACCTCGTCTCTACTAAAAATACAAGATGAATTTCATAAAAGTTTCACACCCAAAAATATTATTGTTCTTTTGGTGTTTTTCTCAACCAGCTAACATGTGAAAACCATGCGTAGCTTAGCCCCTGGGGTATATAAAACAGGTATGGATTTGGCCCATAGGGCATAGTTTGAAACCCCTGAAAATACAATGTTCTCAAACTCTGACATGTATAAGGATCAATTAGGGTATCTATTTTAAATGTAGGTTTTTCCAGGCCTCCTCCCTAGAGAGTTAGATTTCTTAGGGTAGGAGTGAGGCCCAGGAGATCTGCATTTCTAACATGTACTCCAGTGAACTTTCACTTGCTAGGTGGCATGCATGTACAAAGTTCTTTGGTGTAGGACAGTGTTTCCCAAAGTATAGTCTGGAACTACCAGTTGCAAAATTGCTCAAGGTCAGTTTGGATGTAGTTCAGCAAGATGACTACGGTAACAGCATCCACAGCTTCATGCCCTACATTTCGAGTCCTGGAGATGATCAGTAGGAGTGAGGGTTGCTATTAACATAGTTATCTTGTTGAACTGCATCCAAACAAATACTCTAAGTTGCTCTTCTCTAGGCCTGCTACTTAAAAATATCTGTCCTATGAAACCTGTAGAGCAGAGGCACCGTGTCACGCAAAATCCCCACCCACCACCACCCCTTTAACTCTGCCGTACAGATAAACATGATTTAGTAAGTACAATATTGCATATAAATGTACCCTGCCCTCCATATAGTTCTTAACGATGTCAATGATCACAAAACCACATTTTTGTTTAAAGGTCAAACATTATGCTTTCTGTTAGGATTTGAGGGTTTGACTTAAGAACTAACTGTTCTTGCTTAAAATGAAAGAGAAAACCAAATCCCAAGTATATTATAACCAGCCTGAAAAATAAAATCAGTAAAATTTAGGAATTCAGATGATGGGATGATAATCAAGAGCCCCCTGGGCACCTGTCAGAATTCTGCAGTTTGGAAGCCTGCTCATGCAGAATCTGAATATTTAGCCATGTGATGATTGCTTGTCAGAGGTTTATTCTAAACCTCCTGTATCTGGTGGAATAGATGGCGCCGCCTCCCTCTCCTCCCCTACTTGCTGACCCTGTGTTTGACGCTATCTTCAGCCTCTCTCCAAAACATGGGGGCAAGGGTAGGGAGAAAGAGAATTGGATTTTAAAATCACGGTTAATGATAGAACTATTGTAAAAAGGTTAGAAAAGATGTGTTCTGATGCCTGACCTTCACAGTGTTTTAATCCCAGACACATGAGGAAATCGGAATGAGTACAAGCTCATTTTAAGGTTAGAGAACACCGTCTCTGATAAATTAGTCCCTTTGTAGATCTCAAAATTGAATTAAAATACAGCGCTCAGTCATATTTCGGGCTAAGCTGTTACATTTGCATTAAAGGTGTAGGGCTCAAGCATTTTGATGTGGAATTCAGGACTTGGCACAGTTCATGTGGAGTTCAGAATGGTTTTCTCTGCCTATATCGTGCTTTATGGGGCAGATTTTAAAATCATATTTCTCAGTTTATGTTAATGTCCTTCTCGGAGACCTAGCAGTGTGGATGTCCCCTCTGCAGACGCACATACTTCCCATTAATGCTAATGGGAGTCAGAACCAACCACACTAGGAGATAAATGATCTCCCAAATCTCTTCTGACCTTATCTAAAGTAACAGGATTGTTAACTCCCGTGAACATATTGGCCAAATAAAGCTTTTTTTCCCCCACCTCACCTAGAAGAAGAATATAAGAATCAGAGGACCTCTGTGGAGAAACTAACTGCAGCTCAGAACCAGGAGCCACTACCAGAAATAACTCTGCTTGGAAACACATGAATTCTACCTGTCAATCAGGCTACCTGGGCACATCATCCCTTAACCATACCTACACATCGCTGCCTTCCTCTTTTCGTGCTGGGTCAGGCTCTTCCTGCCTCAGTCCTTCCTCTTTCTGTCACCTATTAGGAAATTTCAGTTTTTAAAGTGTTGTGCCTGTTTCAGCAAATCATGTGGCTAGCATAGGCAGGACATACTAATTTTGCATCTATAAATCCACTAAAACGCTTCTGGAAATTGTCCTCAAGTCATGTTTCCTAGTTTTAGACATTCACATATACCATCTTCATGATTTTTTGCATATCCTCCTATAACAATGCATATTTAGTACTTTTCTTTGTACTGACTCATTCTTAAATTCATTTTGAAATACTGTTGTATTTCCATAAATTGCCATTAATGGAAAACCAGTGTTCTCCTATTATACCTTGAAAGAAACAAATAGTTACCAAAATTTAAAAAAATTGTAACTGTAAACTGCCTAAAACTATATCCTATACTTATTTGGGTGAATAGCTGTTTGCATGTTACTAGAAGGCAAGAAATAAATTATTTTGTTTGTTACAATAGGTAGAAGTTACTATTTTAGCAATATTTATAACCACACAAAAATGAGGCAACCATAACATATTTCATCCTTGATATATCTGTAGGCTGTGCACCATGATTCAGTGCAAGATGAGCAGCAGGGAACTGCACAGTTCGTTGGGAATGGTTTTGTCCTGGGGCTTGTGGTATCACTGGGATATGAACTCTGATGGGAAATAGAGGCCTCTCCTTTCTGCCAACTCTTGGGAGAGCCAAGGAAGTCAATACTTATATGAAGGATGATAATAAAATACAGAACATACCTTTTTCCTACCTGTGAAAATACCCTACTTTTAACAATATGAGGCTCACTTCTCTTTGCTAATTATTCTATTTGGGTGGAAACGTCATAAATGTTCATTTCAGCATGATTTAGAATACATGCATATCCATTTAAAAATATATAAACAACAAAACAAATACTAATATTTCTTAGGTGCCAGATACCCTGTTAATCGCTTAGCATGGATTACCACAGTCATCAAAACAACCTCATTTTATGAAAATATGTTTATAAACAAAACAACTATTAATATATCCTAGGTGCCAGGCACCACACTAATCACTTAACATGAATTTTCACAGTTATCAAAGCAACTCCATGAGATTGGCACTGCTATTATCCCCACACAGGCTAATTGTCTTGTCTAAGAGCTAGTAAGTGGTAGAAATGAGATTCAAACCCAGCTCACTCTGACTGGAATCCCTGCCTTTTAACTATGATTTTAAGATGTCAAACTAATATTCTCTTATATCTCCATAACTCACAAATAATCTATAACAGATCCTAGCTCTGTGTCTAACCAGCTCTGAAACATTGAGATCTCTCTTGGTCCTAAATGATTACTAAGCTTCCTTTAGCCAAAACAGTCATACATTAGCAAAGACCTCTAGCTAGAACTGTGCTTTACAAATATTATCTAATCTCTTTTTCCTTTGCCCATGAAACAGAGTGAACAAGAAGTCAGTCACACACTGATGCTAGTGCTCTGAGGAAGTAATTAATAGACTGAAATAGTTGGAATCAATCTAAACATATATTTAGTTCTAACTCTTGGACTTCCAATTTTCTATCTGCATCGTCAAGTATGTTAATGATAAAAAGACTTCCCGAAAGAATAGTACATTTCCAACTTTTAAAGACCCTAAAATACACAATTAGGTAATCTGTAGTTTTCTTCTTTAAATTAAAGGCAATTTTTTTGATATTTTTATTTGCCTTTATCTATCCTCACAAAGGGAGCTACAAATGGGCAAGAAGGAAATAATATGATATGACTCATCTGTATAAATTACTCAGAAACAGGAAGAATGGGTAAAAAAATTTCCTGGTGCAGGATAAAGAACCAAGAAGAACTCAGAATCAGGATCTGGGTTCAGGTCTCCTTCAGCTACTCGTGACCTTGAGAGAACCACCAACGTGAGCCTCATCTTCTTCAGTCAAATCATTGCCAAGTTCCCTTCAACTCAAAAATCCTATGACAGGGCAATATATAAAGTGAAAGAAATGCAAATGAAATGTAAATTAAGATTTTCTCCTTTTCAATGGTTACTTAGCACTTCCAGCCTGTGCCATGAAGCTAATATTGAAATAGTTTCACTCGTGTGCTTTGCTAACAGCATAAAGGACTTTCTGCTACAAAAATTGTAAATCACCCAGGCTATGGTATATGGGAATTTTATTTCCTTAAAACTGACAAGGTTCGCTGAGTGACTAAGGCAAAGCACAGAGGTGATCAAAGCCTTTTATTAGTATAATAAGCCATATCCATATCTCTGAATAAACGGGACAGCTATCTTAAAAATTACCAATGTCATTGTTTAAGCAACGTTTGCTAAAAATAGTACATGAGTCTTGAGTTTTTAATTTGTTGGAATAGTGTTCCTAGACATGAATTTCAAATCTATAGAGACTTGAAAGAAATTTAATTAAAGGATTGAAGATAACATTAGTTACAATACTATAATAGATACAATGGCTATAATTCTCAAAATTGTATTGGATGATTCTGAAATAAGATAGTCTTTCAGTCATATTCATTACCAGCAGTTTTCTAAGAATTATTAATCATATCATGTTTGCTGTGATGAATTAATTTAGCAATACAGTGATATCTGTATATATTAATATGAATGATGCCACTTCTATAGATTACATTATTAGACATGAGGACACATATATTAATATTTGAATTCTTTGGGTTAGCCATTACCTTTCACTACCAAGTTTCCAGTACTGCTAGCAGTTCCAAAATGGTTAGTGGCTATACAGGTATAACTCCCAGCATCTGATTTAGTAACGTTGATGATTCTGAGGTTTCCATCTTCAGAAACGGTAATTCTGAAATCAAAGTAAATGAACCAAAAATGGTGAAATTTATCTCATATGACTTATTGCAATTTTTTTCTGTTATTCTGTCATTGTTCAAAGCATAAATCATTGCTACATTATTTGACAGCCTCATCTTTATTTAGGGTATTTGTCTACGTATACATAAACAAAATTAAGATATGTGACTTGTTTAGAGTTTTTAATTCTTTTCTTGCTAAAATGGTCTCAACAGCCAGTTGGAATAACCATTATAAATATTCGATAGGTTGTGACAATTTCAATTTGGTAGCTCTAACCACATTAGACAAAGGAAAGGCTTATGGTAGATCACCATTAGTCTTATAACTGCTAATGAGGAATAAGAAAAAAATCCCTTGATAAATCAATTTAAGTCTTTTCATTGAAAGTGTTTTTTTCTAAATGAGAGCCTTAAATTAAATGAGGTATTATTAACATATTTATTTCTGAAATATGTCAGCCAATACATTTTTAATGAGATGTAAAAACTGAACTTAAAAAAAATTAAAATATTCCACAACTCAGTGTGACTTTGGCAGAATAGCAAATGTGGACAGCAAACCTCAGGCCCCACAATTAGGGACAAACATCTACTTTCTGCAGGGAAGAAAATGTTTTTGTTGACAGATGCAAAATCTGGAAGAGGAAGAATTTTAAAGAACTCTGTTTTCAACGTGACTACCAGAAGAGAAGTAGGAAAATACAAAGATGAGTAAGACAGACAGCTTGGCTTAGAGGCTTGTCAGAGAAATAAAAAACGTACACAGATAGCTCATTCAAGGTAAATGTTTGTTAAATTTCTCTTTTATTTCAAATCTGCCTACATCTTTCCATCTCTTCCACTCCCTCCTTCTCACCTAGTCCATCAAAACAGCCTCCTAATTGGTCTGCCTATTTCTACTCTTGTCCATCAGATCCATTCTTCAGTCAGTGGCCAGATGATCTTTTAAAATTTAAACCGGATTATATCACTCTCCTAGCTTAAAGCTATGTCCTTAGCTCTGCCATTGCATTCTGAAAACTTTTCTTGCTGCAGCCTTATTATAAAGCTTAATGGATCCAGCTTTTTAAAAAGCCTCTCTTGCTTACTATTTTGTTCTAATCTCTACTCTTCAATGAACTCTAGTCACACTGGCCTTCTGCATATTCCTAGAGTATTAGAAACCCTTCCCACTTCAGGGCCTTTGCACTTGCTGTTCTGCCAGCTTTGAACACCCTTCCGTGTATCTGGACATAGCTGTCACCTTCTCACCTTCAGGATCTCAGCGTAGAGGCAGTTTTTCCTTATAGATCTTTCCCAACTCACTGTTTACAGTGGGTCTCCCTGTCTCCCTGTTTTCCTGCAGCCACTTTATTTCTTCCCACTAAATTCAATCTGGAAATTTTATTTGTTTGCTCGTTAGTTGTCTTATCACATGGAATGGTAGCATCTCTGAGGGCACGGATGGTGTTCGTCTTACGACTGAACCTCCTGGGTCTAGTACACAGGATGGCATGTAGTAGATATTAGAAATATTTCTTAAGTGGCTGAGTGAATACATGAATAAATAAATAATCTAAGGGAAAAATTGATAATATGTTGTATGAATTCAGAGTGGTTGAACTACTTGGGCACTAGTGCTAGACTTAACAGAGTCCTTCCAAATCTCTGAAACAAGGGGTCTAGGATGGGCAGAGCCTCACTTCATAGAACTTTTGAGTAAGCATTTTAAAAACACAGGTGAAGATGTAAATGCACTGGGTTACGAATGCTGCATATACTTTTGTGAAGGCTTTTCTGGATGGAGAAGCTACAGTCTTCCCGAAGACCTGGTCCAGATCTATGACTCAATCTGATGAGAGGGTATGAAGGCAGAAGAACTCTACAAAGAATTTTGGAATCAGAGGGGTGGGAGTTCACATTCCAGTGCTGTCATTTCTAGCTGTACCACTAAAGGCAACTTACTTAACTTTCTCAGTTTTTACTTCCTCTTCTATGAAATAGAACTAACAATGTCCATCTTATAGACTGATAGCAAGAATTAGGTAAGATAGGGTCAGCAAGATTCCTAGATGTTTCCTGATATTTACTAGGCAGTGGTTCTCTTTCATCTTTAAAATTGTGTTTGGTAGGCTGGGTGTGATGGCTCACGCCTGTAATTCTACCAATTTGGGGGGCTGAGGCAGGAGGATCATTTGAGCTCAGGAGTTTGAGACCAGCCTGGGCAACAAGGCAAAACCCTGTCTCTACAAAAAATACAAAAGTTAGCTAGGTGTGCTGGCTTGTGCCTACAGTCCCAACTACTTGCGGGGCTGACGTGGGAGGATGGCTTGAATCTAGGAGGTGGAGGTTGCAGTGAGCCAAGATGGCACCACTACACTCCATCCTAGGAGACAGAGTGAGAACCTATCTCAAAAAAAAAAAAAAAAAAAGTCTTATCTTATTTGGTCATTTGTATATATAGGAAACACTGGACAACATCATTTTAATATATTTTCTTTTAACATAGTAATTAAATCAGCCTTATTTTTGTATTTTGACTGTTATTTCTGACAATTTGAAATCAATATGCAAATTAACTGAGTCATCCCAAATCAAGGTACAAGATGCAGACAGGGCACGAGGGCACTTGTGGTTGGGCAGTTTGTACCTGCTGGCGGTGCCTATGTTGCTTTCTGGTAGATGCCTGGCATTGGAGGCCTTGGCCTTTGGGCTGGGGTGACCCATGCTCCTTTCCTGGTGGAGGCAAGGGAGCCGAGCTGGAGCCATGGCCAGTGAGGTGGTAACTGTTAGGCCTAACCATTGCTGTTGAAGGATTTGCGGGTCATTATATTTTGCAAACCAGGAAGCATATGGAGCCTCAGGTAAAACAAGTTTTTCAAAGTCTACTGAAATCTGCCCTCAATGATGGCTATTACAGAGATGTCTGAACCCAAAGTGACAAAATAAGAAGCAGAGGTGCAAGACCTCCTGCCAATAAAGAAAGAACAAGTGATGCTCATAAACAAATTACTCTCTTAAATCACATCACTCAGATAAAGGAGAATGTTCTTACATAGCAGCCAAAATTTATGAAGCTAAACATTTACTAGAATATCAAGGTAAAAAAAATAAGTAAATGTATGATGAATTTTAAGTTCTTATTAGTTTACATAGATGACTACCAACTTCTTATAATAAAATGTCTCAAAGCTACAATTAAAAAAATAATTTAGCATAAGCTAAATCAAAACTCTGGCTAAAAAAAAAGACAGACAAGAAGGCCTTTTGTTCACTCACATCACAGATACGCATATAACAGTTGCTCAATAAAGACCATCTGATACCTCATTTGCCAAGGAGCAGATGCACTGACAAAAACAGAGTGGAGAACAAATCTTAATTACCTCAATAATAACAAAAATAGCTTTAAAGGAGTTAGTCACATTCCATTTATAAAATAATTTGCTAGAAATTGTGAAATGCTGGCATATGAGAATTAAATATGTAAGGTGACATTTGTGTTTTATGTATGGGCCTATCTTCCATGAGGTAACACTGGCTTGGAGCATATTAAATATTCTGAGGGGTGAGATGACTCTTTAAAAGCAAAAACACCTATTAATAACGTGTACCATTAAAAATAGTATCATGACCATTCCAAAAACCTGAAGCCATCGCCTGTATCAAACTCTGACATGCTGAAGGAAATGAATACAGAAACAAGTAAAGGATTTGTCATCAGATGACTTGGATTCTAGCCTTGACTCTGAAACTTGTCAAGTATATAGCATTGCCAAGTTACTCATGCAAGCTCTGAGACAGTTTCCCAACCTTGGCACTGACGACATTTTGGACTGAACAATTATTTGTCCTAGGGGGGATAATGGGCAGCATCCTTGGCCTGTACCCACTGGACTCCCATAGCTCTAACCCTTCCCCAAGTCATGACAATCAAAAATGTCTCCAGAGATTGTCAAAGATACCCTGGGGGTCAAAATCACCCCAGTTGAGAACTGCTAGTGTAATTCAGTTTTTAAAATCCCTTCTTCTATAATGAGATAAGATAGTTGAAAATTTCGTAACTTAAAGTGCTCCACACTCTTCAAATGTTTTCCCCACCATCATTTCCATCCCTGCTTCCTACTTTTGGTATTGGCACTGCATAAAACCCAGCTAGCTTTTAACAGTCTTAGTACAAGGCTCTCTTTGCCCCTTGTCCTCAGAGTTTCCCTGTCCAATTTCCTATGGGCCTTGTGAAATTACAACATAATTTTATAAACTGTTTTATTATTAATTTTAAAGATTTCAGTGCCTGATACTGGTTTAGGGTCTTAACTCTCCCATTGTTATTTGCGAAGAGGTAAGAGCCTAACTCTTTTAGAACTCCAGATGAGAGAAGGACAGTGAGGGAGATCATTTGTAGAAGGGGTAATTTTCAGTAGCCTTCATTAAATCACATCATATTGCTGTGACCACTTATTCTTACTATTATCCAAATGTGGGGGTAATGTGAAGTTTGATAAACTATTCTTTTGAGAAACTCAACCACTTCTTTATATAAGCAATACAGTGTAGTAACTAAGAACATAAACTCTGGAACTAAACTGTCTAGGCTCAAATCATGCTTCTACTGCTTAGGAGTTGTGTGACTTTGGGAAAGTTAATCTCTCTGTAACTCAGTTTCCTTGTTTGTAAAAATGGGATAATAAAAGTAACCATATATATCTCATAGAGTTGTTGTAAATATGTGCAGTGCTTAGAATGATGCCTGACACGTAAAATGCACCAGGCAGGACAGGTACCTGGGCATATGTCAGTGAGACAGTCTATTCATATGTCATGAATAGACCAGGTTAGTCATATGTTCTATTAAGTAAAGCTCTGTGCCTTCCTGGACCCATTGTTTCAAGCAATTACAAAGGATTCTGTTAAGGCTAAGACAACTGCTGAGTAGTTCTGCCACTCTGAAGTCCTACAACACATTATGATGCCTCACAAAGCATATGGGTGACACCAAATAGACACAGAA